CAAAACTAATCAAATCTGCGCATTAGTTCAGAGCATCTCTGTACCAAGTTTCATCAAAATCCAATAGTTCTTTAGATATCAGTGGAACAGTCATCGAACAGCTAAAAACTAGCTACAATGTAATTATCATGCAAATTAGGTAATCAATATGCATGGTTTCTACCAAAAGCTAATCGAATCTGCGCATTGGCTCAAACCATCTATGGAGCTTTCATGCGAGTTTCATAAAAAAAAAGATGTATAGATATCAATGACTATCGTAGTAGTAGTAGTAAAGGGGTAGGTATGGTACAATTATATTAATATTACTGAACCTAAGCTATGCAAACTTGACTTAAATTCGATCAAATATTACAGCAAGTCTCAAAAGTATTGGGGCAGCCAATTTGCAAACTTGCTAGTGAATCGGCTAACTGCTTGGGTTTTGACTAAACAGTTGGCTTTCGAATCTCCCTGGCGCTGACTCGTGGTCACGTTCACTCTGGGCGAGTCTTTATTGCATTAGGGAATGTAGCCTGATACATGTCTGGAACGATTTGCTTTGCGAGGCATGATAATGTGAAAGTAGTTTCCCTGGTCAGCCTGAAAATGGCCAGTCAGCTGGCGTAAACACTACAAGTTCCTACAAATCAGGGAGAAAATAAATTTTCACATCCAAACAATTCTTTGGGGTAACATTAAACCAACTGCTAATAAAATTCGACTTCATTCATCGTTTTTGCGTGGACAATTCCTTGAATACGAACACCTCATTACACGAAGAAACAAGAATCGTTTAGTTAAAACCAAAGCAGTTAGCCAATTCGCCCATTGTGTGCTTCGCACACGAGAGCAAACAATCACGATAATTGTAGGTTATTTTTAATAGGTTGATTGTCCATAAACAACCTTAACATTTCAGATGTTTTAGAGAAATTAAAATACAAAAAATTTGCATTTTTGTTCTCTCATTTAACCTATGTGAAAGCACTATTTCATGATAAATATTATTCCCAAGCATTTGGCAATAATGTGTGGCATTAGAATTACACATCTAATAACATACCGTTTTTTTTCACTATGTCACCAAAAGATATTTTCAGATTGGAGTTCTTATCTCCATAAAAACCAATGTTAAATGGCTCAAACACTACTTTTATAAGTTATTCATTTAATACGAAAAGTAGTTCCATAGCAATGTTTTTCGCGAACAACATAAAATAAAACCATAGTGTAAATATCATGGAAATCTGCATATCAATTTTAATACCCGCAAACAACCATAAATTTGGTGCAAAAGCAAGACATATTAGTTTGGACACTGAGGTTTTCAATAAAAATTTAGTTTTAAGTTGTGGGGTTTGATTGACATGCAGCTAAGATTAAATGGGTTCATAAACATAATATAACATTCCTTAACATCCTTCTCCTCTGGTTCGTGCATGTCCAAAAAATGACGTACCCAAAAAGATGCGTCTCAGTTTTGTTTGAAATAGACAAAATATTACTACACTAGAATATCAATATATTAAATCTTATTTTTTTTGGAGGATTTAACAATATAAAAAAACATATTGAGGTTGTATTATTAAATAAATTATTGTGCCATACAGCTAATGCAAGAATTACAATATTCACAAGATTTCTGGGTCGAAAGTCGTTTGCAAACAACATTATCAAACAAACTCCAAACATTTCGTACTTCCTGGGTTTAGTTGCAATGACCATCTTCCAAAGCATGATTCAACACAATGCATGATTGGATACATGCACTAGTCAGTCTACGAACAGGTTTATTATTTGCCGTCAGTATAAATTGAATCTCTCATCATCTGCACTCACTTGTCAAGCCAGAATTACTCACAATCTAAATAACTTGACAAAACAATGCAGGAAGTGGAGGGAGGGGCAAATCTGATGGTTCTTGTTTGTAATAAACACAGTCAAACACCAGTGAATTAAACAAGTTTTAATAAAGCTACCATATATCATTAAAAAAACTATTAGATTACATTTTAATAACTTATTTAAGACCACATACATAAATGAAATAACCAAATTTATGAGACCAGTGAATGAAATAATTCAATTTACAAGATAGATAAATGGAATAACCCAATTCATGAGATGAGTAAATGGAATAACCCGATTCACCATATGAGTAAATGGAATAAATGGAATAACCCAATTCACGAGATCAGTAAATGGAATAACCCAATTCACGAGATCAGTAAATGGAATAACCCAATTCACGAGATCAGTAAATGGATTAACCCAATTCACCATATCAGTAAATGGAATAACCCAATTCATGAGATCAGTAAATGGAATAACCCAATTCACGAGATCAGTAAATGGAATAACCCAATTCACGAGATCAGTAAATGGAATAACCCAATTCACGAGATCAGTAAATGGAATAACCCAATTCACGAGATCAGTAAATGGAATAACCCAATTCACGAGATCAGTAAATGGAATAACCCAATTCACAAGATCAGTAAATGGAATAACCCAATTTATGAGATTGACAGGACAGTATCGCAGTCTTAATGTAAATACTCTAGTGCAATAAACCCTTTTCATTCGTCTCGTACCCTTAATTTAGAATGAGAACCCTGTTTTGCTGCAAGCAGTCATAGAAAAATGCTTTTTCAAATGCAAGAAATACTTTATATTTTATTTTACCCAGCAGTGTGTTTAATTGCAATGTTGTCAGTTTAGAAATGTAATTCTAATTTTCAAAATTTCTGAGACACTAATATTATCAATTTACCAAGAGGGGAAAACTACTTTAATAAACTGACATAATTAGAACACACTCATGGATTAGAAAAAAAGACAAGAAATATAAATAAAGATGTGCATACAGCAAAAACGCGACTTCCCCAAGGTCTTTTTCTGGGTTCACTTGTAAGGCAGCTCCACAGCTCCAACATATTAAAATGGCATACTATTTATACATATCTGTTTTTTTCTATCAGTGTTTGGCAGTTTTTTTCACTAGTTTATGGCAGTGTGAACTACAAGGTAAAATATTCAGTGTAACTCCTCTGAAATTTTGATTGCTTGGATAATCCTAGTAGGGAGAGGTTTTGTAAAGTCCTCAAAGTCCTCAAATCTACTTTTACTATTTTACACACGTGTAAATACAATACAACAAAATTCACGATGAATCTTGAAAAAAAAATGACTTGCATCGAGGTCGCATGTCTGATGATTGTAGCGAGTTTGTCCATACACGACCAAGAACCGGTTTCATAATGTCAGAAATGTTTGATTTTGATGAATTTTAAACACATTTGGCCACCTTGAATCAGACCGGGAATCAGAATGAATGGTATATGTTTGCCAAGATGCATAATGTACATGTATGTATGTGTGTGTGTGTGTGTGAAGTTTGAATGTAATAGGTCCAGGCATGTCTCAGATACAGGAAGAGACGTACACAAGAAAGTCAAAACATAAGTGTCTGATCAGAAACTGATAAACATAATGCTTCACTGTGAAAATATAGACAAACTGTTAAAAAAATATATATTGTTTTAAAAAACAAAATTCAGAGAACGGTTAAGCATAGACACAGGAAATATATCACTTTTGTTTTAATATATACATAACTGTTTTTTTTTTTTTAGAATTATTAGTTTAGTTAAAAATTGGTGTAAAGTGCAGAACTTGTAGTAGTGTGTACCATACATTACAAACATTTGTTCAGTTTTCCAGCAGATGATATTGTCATATTTGTTGAACTGGACTGAGGTAGGACTGTAACTATGGCAACATGTTACAAGATTACACATACAGATAAAGCACCAGTCTGTATATGAGCTCCAATCTGTGTATCATCCTCATTATTGACTCTTGGGTTACATGAATATCTGTAAGAAATGAAATGCATGTAAGATGATTTAGTCATTGTGACAGTATGCATTGTACTGAAATTAAAAAGGTGATGACGCCGACAGACAATCACTCATATGATAGTCGACGGCGGAGCTAAAAAAATGTGATTTCAATGTCTGCCACAATTATTCAATGATCTTGATATAAATTTTGTAAAAGATATAGAAAAATTATGTAGGTTAATGTACGTGTATAATTATGTATTTTGTGCAATCTAAATATGAAATTTATTCTGATAATATCTACATTGTTCAGAATTTTAGCTTGAATTGTAGTTTGAATTCTGGTTTGAATAGTTTAAATGAAAGAATATTCTAAATGAAGACACACATCAGACAATAATAAACATAGATGGTCAATCAGTCATATTAACCCTTTTTCATCACCAGACTTTCTGAATAAATTAGTCTGCATATTTTTCTTATTTATTCTTCAATATTTCTGGAATTGTACCCTAATTTTGAAGTCAACAATTTGGTACAATTTTTACTCAAACAATTTGGCTATTTTTGTCCCAATCTTCTGAAAGGGAAGATTATAAAAGTAACTATTTTGTGAATTTGAGATGAAAAGAGGGAACAGGTGGTGAAAAGGTTAATACCCGGTAGGTTCATATATGGCAGCTAAATTGGAATACGTTCAACATCACAGATGAACACGGCTAAGTCGGCTAACCTAAAAGCATGCCTGCTATGTCAATACCTTATAGCGTTAAACCTTACTTCAGCGGCCATTTTTTATTTTAAAATGGGCAAAATGTATAATTTGAAAAATAGTTTGGGTACTCAAGATACAAATAATTTGACAGTTATTCACATTTTATCATTCTTTACAAAATCTATCTAACAGCTTACCTGGGTTTTAGTATTCTCCGACTGAGAGAACTCCCACAAGACACCTGTGGATCACTAGAAGAAGTTAAATTAGGTTCTTCAATGAGAGATCTTTCTGGCATTTCATCAAATTCTTCCAAGCTTTCAACGTTTACCAGAGGCGATCGTGGTTCTGGAGTTGGATAATAATAATCACTATGTTCTTCGAGGCTACCAGAAGGAGACGGATATTCCGGGATTGGGGATGGTGATGTAAATACCGGAATGTCTTCATCTACATAATCATTCATGGAAAGAAGGACTTTGAGTCATACTGTCATTCAGTGATGTCTCTAATTCAGTTGGTACATCAAATTTGTCATTCTCAATTGAACACTGGTTTATGACATCTGAAGTGGAGGTCAGAGGGTCAACCTGAAGAAAGCAACAAATATCCACTCAATCCAAGAAGCAAAGGGTAACAATGAATTTCAGAAATCACAAAAAACAAGTTAGAATATTTTTTGCTTTGATTTTGAATGCATCACCATCCAGGATTGATTTAATCAGATACAAGCCATGCATGGCACAGTCCCCGTTAGTTATCAAATTTAAGATATATAGTTTTGTTTATAGTAATATAGCTGGAATATAACCATGTCAGGAATATGATTTTTTAACATTAAAATGATTGACATTTGTATCTGATCATCAAACAAGTACTTGTCCATATTGAGAGATATTGCTCTGGAACAGCATTCAAAATCAGCAATTTTGAATACATGTATATATATAACATGATGTACAACGAATATCCAAAATTTGCAAAGCATTTAAAAGATATGGCTCTAGAAGCCCAATCATTAAAACAAAATGGTCGCCAGAACAGCCA